TATATATATATATGTATATAATATAATATAACAAATAAAAAAACTTACACTATACATATATTATATGTTAGTAATTATAATAATGAATCAAGTACTAAAATTAACAAAATTCATTTAACTCAATTTATTTTATATTATAATTATATTTATAAACTTTCAAGTACTATAATTACCATCACATATAATATAGTATATATATAATAATAAAGAAAAACTTACACTTTAGCAGGATCTATAACGCCATATCCAACAGGTATGACTATCACCTTGCCCTTCATCTTCGTTGATAATCCAAGTAAAGTTTCCAATTCGGCAAGCCTTTGATCCGAGACTCTCTTACGTCTGCTGTAATCGAAAAAATAACAAAATAAAATAAGATTTTATCTAATTTCCTTTGATGGAATACAATTCAAACTGCTTTACTTTTACGAGTTGAGTAACGTTATAATTACTCATATCATATATATATATCATTAATTGCATTATATCTTATTGTAAAACCCTCGAGCATTTTTCTTTTTATACGTCGATTTGAACCGCTTTCACCGACTTAAAAAAAAAAAAAAAAAAATTTGTGTTATAGAAATCGTTTCGTGAGAAAACATTTCAGAACTTTAACTTCAAAAGTCGAACGATCTTTTCACATATGTTTATATATATATATATGTGTGTGTGTGTGTGTGTGTGTGTATTCGTGTATTGCAAGGTACTTTCATAGAATTATCTATGTATAGAATTAACACACACGTATTTTATTTTTCTCGACAATTTTCATACCGTTTCGCAAGTAGTCATTTACGTATGTAAATAAGTAAACATAACTTTTATACTTAGTTCAAGCTGTCGTGTTGCATTTGTCGTAAAAAAACTACATTCTATTTGCATAAACGATCTATGGCAACGACCGCTACCTTCTCTGCTTTACTAAATAAACCGTAAATGAGAGCCGCCGTTAAACGTTCATTAAAACACGTTAAATGAAATTCATCTTCTATTCAAAACGAACTGAGCAATGACTTTATTTATGAATAACTCTCGAGACGTTTTAAATTATTTTATTCAAATATAATAGAATTTTATGTTAGATAAAATTTCCTTTTTTTTTTTTTTTTTTAAATACAAAGTGAAAGGAACATTTTTATTTCTATAAAAATTCCTACTTTTTAAAAAAATTATTTCGTTTTAGTTGGAAGTATTTGATTGAAAACAAAAAATCATTGAAGTATACGTTTTTAAAAGAAAAAGAAAAAGAAAAAAAAATTATTATTCTCTTTCTTAATGATAAAATAAAATCAGTACAAAGAATAAAGGAAAAGAATTAGTATGAAAAAATATGTTGGTTAGATGCTTACCTGATAATGAGACCGGACGGTCTGGCTTCGGTTGGTTCTGGTATCAAAATCGTCGCGAGTACGCTGAGCACCAGAAGAGTCACCAATGGGCGTGATGTAATACACATTTCGTACTTGGCCATATTTTCTTTTATACTTTTTAAATAAATAAAACACTCGAACTTATGTTCAAAAAGAGAACAATTTGCACCACGAAAATAAATGAGAAAGAATATTAATTTCTTTCACAATTTTCTTCTTTTTTTTTTTCTTTTTCACGACAAATAGTCAAACAAAATAAAGAAAAAAAATTACAGACAAGGCAAGGCAAGAAATGATTTTAAAAATCAAATGATAAATAATAGAAGAGTATCGTGTTAATCCTTATATGGAACTTTTGGTATCCTTTTGTCTGTAAACGCGATTGTTAATGCCCCTCTTTCACTTTGCTGCTTTTGTCTAGTTGAACTGTAGCATACCGTCACTCGGTTCGAGCATATATACTCGAAGCAGAGTTAACGCCCCCTCCTTCCCCTTTCGACAGTGGCATCCCCCACTCGCTTCAACTCGAGATCCTCCCTCACCTTTATCCTACCATACTAGACTTGAAACCCCTTTTTTCTTTTTTATTCAATTTCCTTCAACGATTCCGTCATCTTTCCCATGAAATCTCAATTATCAACCTATTCTGCTAACTTTCCTGTTTTCGTTAATTTTTTTTCTTTTTTTAGAAGTCTGACAAGTTATTTATACCGTATATACCACGATTGGTTTGAAATTTTAAGATTTGAATTTTACAGTTAATACTTTTTGTCATTTCATCTTATATATTATTTTTATTTATTATTCAACTTAATAATTTATCAGTTTAATTATTTTCAAATTCAGCGTTAATGATTGTAGAATAGCAAAATATGCAATAAGATGCAATAGTGATAAATTGAAATATTATATATTAATCATTCTAATCGTGCACATTATGAAAAAAAAAAAAAAAA